GGGGCAGCCATTTAAATTTAAATGAAGCCGCGATTATTTTAATCGCGGCTTCATTTCCCTCTGCTGATCTGGCTAATCTACATGCCTCCGTTGACAGAGGCATGTAGTTTAGACGTACCCTAGGAGAAATTTTCTAGCTGTCAGGGTGGTGAAACACTGGAATAAGTTGCTGAGGGAGCTGTAGAGTCTCCCTCACTGGGGATTTTTAAGAGCAAGTTAGACACACACCTATCAGGGATGATCTAGACTCTAGATCCATGGTCACCAACAGTCGATCGCGAGGCCTCGACCAGTCGATCGTGAGGTGTCCTGTCTGCCCCGCCCCCATTTGCCTCCCACCCCCGAGAAGCCCCACTACCTACCTCAAGTGAAAATGGAGGTAGTGTCGGCTTCCTGGGGATGGACAGAAATCCCGCAGCTTAGCGCCACTTCCGGCGATTCCAGAAGTGCGCCAGCTGCTCTGCCGGGCGTACTGCGGGAGGGAGCATTGGCTCCCTGCACCGTACAGGAGGGGTGAGTCAGCCCTGGGGAGGCGCGTACAGGGTTTCCCAGCACCCTGGGGGGGGGAGGGATCGGCCCTGGGGTAGGTGTGCGTGGGGCTTCCCTGCACCAGGGTGTGGGGGTTGGCTCCAGGGCAGGCGTGCACGGGGCTTCCCTGCGTGGGGTGGGGTTGGCCCCGGGGCAGGCACGCGTTGGTTTCCCGGGAGGGAGGGGAATCCTGGGAGGAGGCAGATGCAGGGGACTCTCTGCCTTCACTGGCACCCTGCTCCCCAGACCTCTGCTCCCCAGACACAGAACTCTGTCCCCACTCCCCTGTCCCCAGCTACAGTACGCTGTCCCCACTCCCCGAACTCTGTCCCCACTGGCACCCTGTCCCCAGCTGCAGAACCCTGTCCTCTGCCCTCCCAGCACCCTGTTCCCTCTTCCCTGCCCCCCACTGCAGAACTCTGTCCCCACAAAATGTATCATTATAAATTCCTTCATTTTAGATTTAAATAACATGAATAAAAACCAGACCATTTATTTCATAACTATAAACACGTGATTTTAATTTTATGTATCACATAATTTAAAAATAAACTGTTTCTCAGAGTGTGTAAGTAAGGGCTGGGGATAGCAAGTGATGGACAGGAGAATAGAGGGCGGGGCTTCAAGGACGGGGAGGAGCTTCAAGGAAGGGGCGGGGCAGTAGATCTTCGCCTGTTCTGAGATTTAAAAAGTGATCTTGGGAGTAAAAAGGTTGGCGACCACTGCCTTAGATGGTGCGTGGTCCTGCCATGAGGACAGGGGATTGGACTTGATGACTCTCGAGGTCCCTTCCAGTTCTAGGAGTCTCTAAATGGCCTTACATGATGGATTCACCAACCCTTTCATTTCTGTCTGTAACCAAACTAAAGTGGTTCAGTCAATTTCATCTGTGTTCTGTGTCTGTCACTTTGTAGTCCGCATCCCTCTGAGGTTCCCATGTGCTTTCTCTACCACTGTGCCTAGGTTTTAGCACTTCCCATCCACAGGGCTCAAAGAGCTTCACAGAGGCAGCCCGTCTCTTGCCAAGGCATTCATCTTAGCCCCTCACAAGATTTTAGCATAGTAATCCCCACAACATGGCTGGGGGCAGGGACTATGGTAAACTGAGGCACGAGGCGGCTCAGGAAGTTTGTGGGGAATTGGTCGAACCTGAGTTCTAGCGAGGCCACCCTGCTGCGCTAGCTGGATGCGGCCATGTTTGGGTTGCGGTAGGGGGGATGTGTTTTCAACAATCCATCACAGTTTCCAAGGGACTGATGAAAGCCAAACGCTGGGGACTTGTCTGTAGCATCCACCGGCCCCGTGGCAGGCTAGGGCCTGTCAAACCCACGTTTTTTTCCCAACTAAGCCTGCCTGTGTTCGGCGCATGGTTTGGTCTCTAGCTCCAGCCGGGGTTACAGAAGCAGGAAGATCTTTTGTTGCTCTGCGGAGGCACCAAAACACAGGAGTGGGGGGGTGGCTTGGGGCCAAGAGCGGGGTCCCGCTGTGTTGGGTGCTGCACAGCGTCCGTAGTAACCCGTCCCTGGGCTGTCCCTTCCCATTGGGTTTGGTAACCGGGGCTCGCTCTTCGCTTTCCACACAGGAGCACCTGTCTGTGAGCCACAACAGCCTGACCACGCTCCACGGAGAGCTCACCGGCCTGCCGTGCCTCCGGGTGAGTGACCCGCGCCGGGTCCCGCTGCCCCAGGCGTGGGCGTTCCTCTTCGGCGGCCAGCCCCTCGCTGGCCCTCTGCTGCTGATCGCCCCGGGCGTGACCGTGGGTGGGCATCCCTGGCTCCCTTGCCAAGTCTGGACCCGGGGCTGCCCCGGCCCAGGGGCTGGCCTCGTCTGCAAATACCGGCTAGTCCTGCCCGCAGACGTCCCGCACTGCCTCTCTCCCCGCTCTGCAGCTCACTCCGGAGGAGAGCTTAGCCCCTGAAAACCAACCCTCCCTCCTCCCGGCCCCTCCCGGGAAGCGGATGGGGTGAAACACTGCGCTCTGCTTGGGTAACTTCCTGACCCGCTGGCTGTGCTGTAACCCGGCCAGCTGGCTTCCTGGCCACCGCTCCTTCAATGGGCCGGCCCCTGGGTGGCTGTCGGGCGGAGCCCGGCTGCAGGGCCTCTCCAGGGCTGTGTGGCTGGGGAGCATAATCGGAGCGGGGGGTCTGGGAGTCCAGACTTGCCACGGACTCTTTGTGCCCCCATCATGTAGAGCCCGATCCCGCAGCCATCGCTCGCTCACACGGGACATCTCCCTTGAGGCAGGGCTGCGAGGCGGAGCCTTTCCCTGCCCCATGCCTCAGTTTCCCCATGTGCCAAACGGGGATGTTAGTCCTTGCTGAGGGGCTGGCTGGGGGCGGGTGGTTCCTTGGGGTGGGCTGACGCCCAGGGGAACTGTCTGGGCAGCCGCGGCGCTACAGTGCCTGGGTACGTTGGAACAGGCTGGAGAGAGACGAGCTGTTCGATCCAGGGGTCCCATGCTCAGCCCCAGCTAACCCATCCCGGGGGGGCCGCGTTGTGCTTGGACACCCCTGTTTGCGGGTGGTCCCTCCTGGAGCTGGTGGAGATGCAGCCTGGGCCTCTTCCCCGGTTGGGGAGGGAGGCTGGATGCTCCTAACACCCGATGTCACTGGATGATCTCGGAGGAGCTCGCAGCATGTGGCCCTGAGAAGCTGAACAGGCTGGTCTCCATCCCCCTCCCCCGACCCACGGCTTCCCTCTTTGGGCTTCTCTCCTCTGATCCCGCCCAGCCTCCTCGCCCTCCCGCTGCTGCCCTCTGCTCAGCCGCCTCCTGCTCACGCTTGGTCAGTCGCTTCCCTGCTCTGACCCGGGTGCTGAGTAAGGGGCACGCGGAGACCTGGCTGTGAACAGCTCCAGAGCCCTGACTCTGCCTCCCTTCCCCTTTTAAGGCAATTGTGGCTCGAGCGAACAGCCTGAAGAATTCCGGCGTCCCCGACGACATTTTCCAGCTCGATGACCTCTCGGTGCTGGTATGTGCTGCCTGTTCCCTCCGGGCTCCTCCCTGCTCTCCTCACCCCCTCCAGGCAGTGTAGGAAAGAAGCAGAGAGATTCCCACAGCCTCAGGGGGGAGGGGAAGAGAATCCTAAATCCCCACGTTCCATCAACCCATAAGAGAGGCACCTGCCTCTGCCGCTGACTTTCTGTGTAACCTCTGGCAAGTCCCTTTGCGTGCCCGTGCCCCTTTTGAAATGGGCATTATGCCGATCTTTCTGAATTGCTTTGTCACACTTTGTATTAAGGGCACATTTGTAAGTGGTTTAGTGCTATACAGGGTCAATAAACAGGGGTTTTGGTTCCTCAGTTATTCAAGTCCAATAGCACACAAGGTGGCTTATAAACTGTGGCTTAGAACGATCTCTAACCCCATCTACTGACGTACTTTTAACCACCTCTAGGCCTACCCGCATTTGACTTACAGTTTCAGTGGATATTAATCAATGTTTATTTTTTAAGCTTTGTTTAGATTTATATTGGTTTTAAGGTATCCCAGATGCATGAAATCATGGAGGGAGGGTGTTGGGTCAGCCAATAATTATTTAATGACCGTGGATGTTGAGATTCAAAAAGTTTTGAAACGGTTAAAACAAATTGCTAACCTCATACCTCAATATACATCACAAGTGACTATACTTCCAAGTCTAAGTTCTCCAGCAGTGATTTTTCTGACTTTGCCTCTCTGCAAATTTTGAAGGTTATTCCCCGATTAACCCTTTACAAATGTATCCTTGTCGCAAAGTCTGGCCGTAGGACATTCCTGGCTGTACAGACGCCAGCCCATTACTGCAGGGGGAGCCTGTTAAAAAGTGCCTAACTCCCATTGGCACTCCATGGGAATGTGGAGTGTGACTTTCTTCCGCAGGTTCGACAGTCCCACGCCCGGCTGTTGCCGATAAGCCACGTGCTCTCCAAAGAACCCAGCTGTGTGCACTAGGGTGGTTTTGTTATTGGATCGTCTTTTGAAAGGGACAGGCTGGTGGCTTGGGGACAGGGCTCTTCCTCTGTGTCTGTACAGCACCTAACGCAATGGAGCCCAGACTGACAGGGACGGTCGGTTATTAGCGTGTGTATTATGCTCACGCTCCCTTTGGCCTCCAACTAGGGCCTAAGGACATTACTGTAATGCACCTAATCACCTACTTGACCTCGGAATTCGTCTCCATTTTAAAGCTGATCTAGTCGACCCAGGAATGTCCTTGGGGATTCCTAACCGGTCTTTCGTAAACACCGCGATCTGGCAGAGAAATAAAGGGGAACGTCCGATGAGCAGCCTCCATTTTGGTGTGCCACACCAAAACCCCCAGGGGCCCGACGCTGAGCGGCGCTGATGCGTCCTCGGAAGAAACTGACGCAGGACAGCTGCCCCCGGCTGCTGCTGTGTTGGAAAGGGCAAAGTTCGTGGTGTCCTTGTGCCTGGCTCGGCAGGTAGCAAAGCTCACGGCTGGGTTGTGAAGACTAGAGGCTGTGCCCTGGTTTTGGATAGGGGCACCGAAGGGGGGCAGGGTTGTGTGCCGAGGTAGGTGCAGTCCTGGCTCATGTTCCTTGTCAGCTGGGCACTTGGGCGGCTGCTCAGGAGAGAGTCCAGTGCTGCCCCACTGATTGGCCCGCTGCTGGGTTTGGGTTTCTGCTGGTGGTGCACATTCTCACATGCTTTGGTGCGCGCGACAAAATTTATTCCGCACCTGTGTGAAAACAAGGAGAGGGAACATTAATCATGGTACCCGCTCTCAGTGCGTCATCCAGGGCATGTGTTTGCCCTCAGACCTGGCCGTTCGGCAGCATGGCCCGCCCTGAAGAGCCTCGCAGTGGCGGCAGGGGGCTGATTCTGGCTGTGGGAGGCTGTTGCTGGGCGGGTCGCTCTGTGTCAGCTGGAGGGCTGCTCCTGACGGCTCTCTTGCTTCCCGTCCCCCAGGACCTGAGCTACAACCAGCTCACAGAGTGTCCCCGGGAGCTGGAGAACGCCAAGAACATGCTTGTGCTCAACCTCGGCCACAACAGGTGGGTTGGCCGATCGGGGGTTCCGGCCCAGCTGGGGCAGGGGGCTCCTTGGCTGGGTGCACCAGCTGGGCATGCAGGTGAGACGTCCTGGCTAAGCTGGCAGGAGAGCCCTGCCAACCAACCCCCCTCCCTGACCTGGGGCAGGCCTGGCCGCTGGCGCTGATGCCGTGGAGAGAAGGGATCTGCTACGAGGGGCGCGTAGAGCAGCCGATCCCAGCCTGCAGGGAGCCCTCCTCTGCTCTGCCTCCTGGGCAAGGGGCGCGTGTCCCGTGCGGCTCACTCCCCCTGGAAATGCCCTCCCTCCCTGGCCCGGGGAATCCCCTGCGGCCCTGTCCACACCCGGAGGATCCCCCTTTGTGTTGCTGCCGGGCTGGGTAACAAGGCTGGGTCCCCTCGCTCCGCCCTGTTGTGCCGGGCAGGGAGCTGAGCGCGCTCTGCTGTCACTGGCTGGGGACCCGGGGCATGTGTCTGCACCCAGCCAGGCGAAGCGGGGGGACTGCCGGCGTTCCCTGTAAGCGGAGTGCGTGGGCGGCTGCTCAGGAGAGATTCGGGTGCCACCCAGCTGACTGGCAGAGCGCCCACAGTCAGCAGCAGGTGTGTCCATGGGTGGTGCACGTCTCTGCATGCCTCGGTGCGCAGAACAAAATTGATTCCGCACATGGGTGGGGAAAAAATTAGACTGCTGCACGTGGCGCCAATCACAGCTGCGAGGCTGCAGCCACCCAGGCGGTACGACCCTGGCCAGGCCCTGGGTATGTTCTGGAGCAGCTGGCCCATGCCCCTTCGTGACTGTGGACGTGGCTGATTGCAGCCTTGACGCCCCCTCGGGCGCCGGTTCCACTCGGCCGGCTCCCGGGGAGGCATTGCTGCGGGCTTTGCAGAATGAAGCTTTCATTTGACAGCGCGTGACAGTGTCGGCGGTGACCCGGTTTCCTATTTAACCGACTGTGAACACCCCAACTTCCCAGCCTGGCACTGCAGGGTCCCTGCGCCCAGCCCCATCCCTCCCCTCCCCCGGCCGGTAACCAGCCCCTGCCTCGTCTTCCCCCTCCAGCATCGATACCATCCCCACCCAGCTCTTCATCAACCTGACGGACCTGCTGTACCTGGACCTGAGCGAGAACCGGCTGGAGAGCCTCCCGCCCCAGATGAGGCGCCTGGTGCACCTTCAGACCTTGATCCTGAACCGCCCAGCTCCGGTAGGTCGCGGGGCTCAGGCTGCCTTGGTGGGGGGAGGCAGCCGGCGCTGGGCTGGGGGGGGACGGGCCAAGAGAGGCCCCGTTGGCTGGGCGCTCTTCGGGCTGCTCTCCTGCGCCTTGCTGGGCAGAGCCTGGTCTGGCCTGGGCCCCAGTGTCTTGACTGGTTTGCAGCTGCACCGAGCTGGGGAGGCAGGGCCGCTGGGGGGAGGCAGCCGGCGCTGTGCTGGGGCGGGACGGGCCAAGGGAGGCCCCGTTGGCTGGGCGCTCATCGGGCCGCTCTCCTGCGCCTTGCTGGGCAGAGCCTGGTCTGGCCTGGGCCCCGGTGTCTTGACTGTTTTGCAGCTGCACTGGGCTGGGGAGGCAGAGCCGCTGCCGAAAGGCAACCGAGGGGCTTTATTCCCCGCTTAACACCTGAGAACCCAGCCTGCTGGGCCCTTTCTGCAGTGAGCCCTTGGGCGAGGGACCTGGCCTGCGGCATCGCTGACACCAGCCCTCCCCCGCTCGCCACCTTAGGCTTGGCCTCCAGCCCTGAAGTCTTTCAATGGGCCCAGTTTCTTGGGCCTCGTAGTGCCGGCCACAGCCCTAAAGACTGCTCCATCCCTGGGGCCCTGCTCCCAGGGACTCAAACCCACAACCCTGCCCTCCCCAGGCCAATGCCCTATCCCCAAGGCCACTCCAGAGCCCACCCCACTGCCAGTGGGTCCCTTGTCCTGCCTTCCTGACGCAGGAGGCAGCGAGATCCCTAGAGCAGCCTGTGTTGGCTGCTCTCTGCATAGCTGTGGCAGGCACAGGTCCTGCCGGCTTGCTTCAGCCTCTTCCCCCCAGCACAGCCTCTGGGAGGGCTCCGGCTCCCACGGCCCGGGGCACCCTTGAGCCTTCCCCGCACGCTGCCGGAGCCCGTGTGGAATGGGTTCGTGTCCCGGCTCAGCCCAGTTTTACGCCTGTGCTGCTTCCCATTGAACCAGAGCTTTGGATGCCGGGCTCGGCCCAGGCCTGGCCGTGGCTCTCCCCTCACAGCGTCCCCCTTTCCTCCCCCGTGAAGGCAGCTGCCCGCCATGACGGCTCTGCAGACCCTCCACCTGAGGAACACGCAGCGCACGCAGAGCAACCTGCCCACCAGCCTGGAAGGCCTGACCAACCTCGCCGGTGAGCCAGAGACCGGGGCTGAGGGGAACGGCCCCTCTCCGGCCCTCCTCCCGGCCGCGGCTGGGCAGCGCACGAGGCCTTGGAGGGACGCCATGCGCCGGAGAGAGGCGTCCCGCTCCCAGCGAGCCGTTGGCAGCTCAAATGCTGTCCCCGGCACTGGGCAAGCGGTGGGTGCGCTGTGGGCGCGTCTCCCAGGGCAGGGCCTTCAACTCCGGCCTGCCTGAGCCCGTCGCTGGCAGCTCCCTCTTCCCCGATGGCAGCCCGGCGACGGGTGCGAATTCCCTGGTCCAGCTGTCCCACCATGCAGTGCGCTGGGGCTGAGGAAATTACCCAGAAGGCCCTGCTCCCGCTAACAATGCGGAGGAATTGGCCTGCAGTCCCAGAGTGCACCGGGACACCCCCCGGCGGAGGGGCCTCTTGCGAGCGGGAGCTGCCGCGTGGGACAAGCTGTTGCGGGGATGAGGGAGGCAATTGCCTCGGGGCCCCGAAATGGTGCAGGCCTGACCCCATTGTAGGTGGAGAGGGACCAGGGAGGGAGGCTGCCTGCCCTGTCCCCACGTGTCCCTGCTCGGTGTCCCGTCCGGGCGCTCGCAGCGCGGGGGGAAGCCA